TGTCAGTATGTTCCCTGGCATGAACAGACCCATTCCAATAGCTGCCTTCAAGTAAGCGCTGAGCATAATTTGGCAGCTAGAACAGCACAGAGATGACCAAAGGCAGGTTGCATGTCACTGCGTTACTTTTAGGGCTACAACAAATTTATTAATGCAGACAAAGGTCACATGGTGCTGGTTGGGAATGGTCTCAGTGCCTGGAAACCTCCGTGGCCAGTTTTAATTTACTAGGATAAATGTAACCAGAGTGTCCTAAACCCTCTAACTAAAGACTGGCACTCTAAGTTTATCTAGGAAAAAGGCTAAAAGGGGACAGGAGAACTCCGATTACCACAAAACAGCTTGGGTTGGAAGGGATCTTAAAGATCATCTAGTTCCAACTCCCTGCCATGGGCAGAGACACTTCCCACTGCACCAGGTTAGCCAAAGGCCCATCCAATCTGACCTTGAAGACTTCCAGGGATGGGACCTCCACAGCTTCTGCAGGCAACCTCTGGCCTTCTCCTGTACCTCACCACCCTCATAGGAAAGAATTTCTTCCTAATATCTAATCTAAACCTACATTCTTTCAGTTTAAAGTTACTCCCACTTATCCCATCACTCCACTCCCTGACAAAGAGTCCCCCCCCAGCTTTTCTGTAGGCCTTCTTTAGGTACTGGAAGGCCACTATAAGGTCTCCCCAGAGCCTTCTCTTCTCCAGGCTGAACAAGCCCAACTCCCTCAGCCTGTCTTCATAGGAGAGGTGCTTCCAGCCCTCTGCCCATCCTTGTGGCCCTCCTCTGGACTTGCTCCAACAGGTCCATGTCCGTATGCTGGGGGCACCAGAACTGAACACAAGACTCCAGGTGGGGTCTCACAAGAGCAGAGATGAGGGAGGCAATCACCTCCCTCACCCTGCTGGCCATGCTGCTCTTGATGAAGCCCAGGATACAGTTGGCTTTCTGGGCTGCAAGCATGCACTGCTGGTTCATATCAAGCTGTTCATTCACCAGCACCACCAAGTCCTGCTCCTCACAGCTGCTCTCAATTCACTCTACACTCAGCATGCATTTGTGCTTGTGATTACCCTGGTCCAGATGTAGGAACTTGCACCTTGCCTTGTTGAACTTTATGAAATTCATGTGGGCCCATTTCTCAAGCCTGACCAAGTACATCTGGATGACATCCCATCCTTCTGTCATATCAGCTGCATCACTCAGCTTGGCATCATCAAACTCACTGAGGGTGCATTCAATCCCAAATATCTATGTCATAAATAAAGATATTAAATGGCACAGCTCTCAGTATGGAGCCCTGAGGGGTACCACACATCACTGTTCTCCACCTGGATATAGAGCCATTGACTGCAACTCCCTAGATACAGCGATCCAGCCAATTCCTTATCCACCAAATAGACTACCCTTCTAATCCATATCTCTCCAACTTACATATAAGGATGTCTCTAAATTGTGTAACAATGTGTGTTTATAATAACATTGCTAAGGAAGAGAAGTATTTTGTACGAATCAGATTTTGCTAAGTGGTAAGAGTTTCATGCTAAGATATATTGGATTGCTGTATCACAGCCACTAAATGCTAGGTGAATAGAGGGGAAGCAAGAGGTACAGTTACCTTGCAATCAAATAATTATATCACAGATGTTTGGCTGTCCTGCCAGTCTTCAAAATACCCTTGCCATAATACCAGTCACTGTTAAAAGACATTAGACAACTTAGTATATTGGGTTCAAGAAATTCAGCACTCAGAGGTTAACAACCATTTTCTCCTCTTAAAAAATACTATTTTTTTTCAACTGTAAATGAAGCAAAAGAAGTTATACTACTGAACAACAGAGATGTGATTAACCCTCCATGTACAGCAGCTGACTTAGGCAACATGGGAGGGATGACTGCAACATTTTGAGCTCCACCTTCTCCCCACACCTCTGCCAAAACCTGATCAGTATCCATAATTTTTTTATTATTATTAGGTCTGATTCCACACATAAGAAAATCTCCACTGATTTTTGCAGACTTTCTCATACCTTCTACATAAAGTTGGGTGTAAGCACACCACTGGGATTAGTAAATTCACTATGACTCTACTTTTGTCTGATTCCCATAGGGCACAATAAACCAGATGTCATCAAATATGAAAAACAGAGACTGTAGATAAAATATGAAAGAAAAAGAATACAAAATTGCTGTTGCAGGCGATAGGTAACTTGAGACTTCCACCTAAAAAAAAATAGATGCAGGGTGCCATGTTTATACATCTTAAAAAAACTTTGCTTCTCTTCAGTTTTTTGTTTCATAGCTCAGTAAAATGTTAATGAAACAGAAGTATAAATATATCGAGATGCATTTGCTCTCCTAGAAATAGCTATTCAGATCAGATAAAGCAGCAGTAAATCCAAACTGCTACCTAAAATATGAACTTTTTCAAACCTTAAAGAGATTTGTTTAACAGGCTTGCTAATTTAGTTTTTACTGTTTTACATTTCTAAAATCAATTTCCATCTTAGATTTCATTGCAAAAATCACATGAAGACAGGCTTTCTCTAAAGGTTTTGCATGTCTTTGATTCTGGAGAGACAGACAAAAATAATGTATTTCTTTCTGATTTATTGGAACATCTGATTTTCATATTTTTCTAGTTTGATTTTAGCTCAAACTAGAAAATACAAAGATGACAGGACAACTCAAAGTGCACAAGCCTGCTTCTGACTTTAGTTATTCATTCTCTTCTAATCACTATGCTAATTAGCATCCAAGCATCCAAAGTGTTTTTAATGCTAAGTATATCCCTTGAGTATTCTAAACATGGAAGTCTTCTTTTGTCCTCAGTAGGGAGAAGTGGATAAAATTCTGTCATGGTTTTGTCTGGGATAGAGTTAATTTTCCATGTAGAGCTTCACAGAATGCTGTGCTTTGGATTTTTGATAAAAACAGTGGTGATAACACAACATCTTAGCTGTTGACAAGCAGCATTTGCATAAAGCCCAGGATGTTTCAATTCCTCGTGCTGCCCTGCTGGGGATGCACCAGGAGCTGGGAGGGGACAGGGCCAGGACAGCTGGCTCAGGCTGGCCAAAGCAGTGTCCCACACTGTGTGGTGCCATGATGGGGTAATGAAGGAGGAAGGGGGGACATTTGGAGTTATGGCATTTGTCTGTCCAAGAAACCATTATGCATGATGATCCCTGCTTACCAGGGAGTAGCAGAACACCTCCTGCTGATGGGAAGCAGTGAATGGATTCCTTTGTTTGCTTTGCTTGCACATGTGGCATTTGCTTTACCTGGTAATCTGTCCGTGTCTCAACCCATGAGTTCTCACACTTTTACCTCTCAGATTCTCTCCCCCATCGCACCTGGAAAGGTACGATAATGTGGTATAAAGCACGACTTAATAAAAGAAAATCTAAGTTCTAACAGAACATAGTTCCTTTTTCTCTGTCAAGAAAGTACTACAGTAACTACCAGCCATATTATAGCATTTGGTTTCATTTTTTCCTAAGTGTGGCCAGTACTCCCAACCCAGTGCTATAATCGTTCTTGTCACAACTTACTTGAACTTCAATGAACTTCACAATAATTTCTATTCAAGGCACACTCATATTCACTGATAAAACCACAATGATTTAAGTGGTTTCTTTATAATTACAGAGGTGTCCTATAGTAAATGCTTTGCTCCATTTGCAAATTGTTCCTTATTATTGTGTAAGAGATCCATGCCTAGTGTAACTTATGTAGGAAGTCAGATTTTAGCTTTAATTTCTTTCCTGTGTTCTCCATATCAGTGGATAGTTTTCTTACTTACCTTGGAAGCTGAAAAGGAAGTCTTTCTGCAAGGCCCACACAGGAACTAGTATTAATCCACTTAAGAATAGGCAACATAAGAGAAAAGATTAAAGGATTTGTAAGAGACAGTACCACTTTATGGGACAGACCTAAATCTTTGTCTTTCCTCCCTTCAGAAGTGAGGTAACAAAGCCACCTCAGAACATTAGTTCTAATTTTCTCCCTGTGGCTGTGCATGAAGACAGTGGAAGAGGAAGCTGATTCCTTCTCAGGTTTCCCCAGAATAGGTCAGATGTACATCCATAATCTGGACTTCCATTAACAGAAAACTATTGCAGAAGGGATTATGGAATATGATTAGTTCTATTTTTGACATTATTTTAAGGAAACTATCTGATATTCTGGTATGTAAAGAAAGGCTCTTTTCACTGAACCAGTTAAAAACCCTTCAGCCTAGGTATCCATTGCTACACATGTAGCAAGCTAACAGATATCACAGATAACTTTACATGCAAAAGCTTTAAGAAAAAATGACCATTTTAAACTATACTATGAAGCAACAAAAAGAAATAATTGTCTGAATGTATTTCCAAGGTTAGTCCATTCAGTTTAGTTTAGAAGCAAGATATGACACTGAAGAAAAAGAAGATGAACACGGGAGGGATTAAAGGTAAGTATAGTTGATCATGGTCTAGATTCTAGTGCTAAGAAACATTGACTGTCATTAGCTCACCAATAAGTTTGGCAGACAGGGGCAGCTCAGATACGCAAATAAGTTTTAGGGAAAACCACATAGAGTTTGGAAGCAATGTATGTTTACATGAAAACTAACAAAAGAACAACCTCTAACTTTCATCAATGGAAACTAGGACCACCAAATGCTTCTGTGGTTATTTGTAGTTGTCCTGGTTTCGGTTAGAACAGAATTAATTTTCTTCCTAGTAGCTGGTGGAATGCTGTGTTTTGGCTTAGGATGAGAAGAGTGCTGATAACACCCCGATGTTTTAATTGTTGCAGAGCAGTGCTTATACTAAGCCAAGGACATCTCAGCCTTTTGCTCTGTCCTGCCAACAGGCAGGCTGGGGGTGCAGTAAGAGCTGGGAGGGGACAGACCCAGGACAGGTGACCCAAACTAGCCAAAGGGGTATTCCATACCATCTGACGTCATGCTAAACAATATATAGGGGTGGCTAGCCGGGGGGAGGGGGCCGGACTGCTCGGGGTTAGGCTGGGCATCGGTCAGCGAGTGGTGAGCAATTGCATTGTGCATCACTTGTTTGTACATATTATTATTACTTTCCTATTATCACCATTGTATTATTATTAATATTATTGTTATTATTATTTTTGTTATTATTATTTTCCTGTCTTATTAAACTGTCTTTATCTCAACTCACGGGCTTCACTTTCCATTTCTCTCCCCCGTCCCAGAGAGGGAGGGAGGGAGGGTGAGCGAACGGCTGCGTGGTGTTTAGCTGCCGGCCGGGTTAAACCATGACAGTAGTGTAAAATGCTAAGATAATATTTGTTTTTTAAAATACAAATATCTTGGTGTTAAACCATTGGCACTTTCAAAACTGTATTAACTATGCAATAAAGAACAGATTTATAAGCATTTGGTCATTGCTCCCTGTACAGTGTAATTATTATTTACGTATGAAAATACAGCAAAGTTATATTACAAATTAAACTTCTACAGCCTTGCAGATTGTGTCCCAATTACAAGTTCATTGCTAGTTTTGCACTATTGGTTTTCACTTTCTCAGTTGTGGACTCACTGTTAAAGAAAGTTAAGGGAAGGGGTGAGTTTTGTTTTTTTCTTTACCTATTATTTTAGTATTCATACCTTCACAGAAAAACCATGAGAATGTATAGTCAGAGGACTCAAGCAGCAGAAGACACTAAACCCAGAAGAGGTTTTATTAAATGTTATGTCTTTTAAGACAATCTTATATTTTAGTGAGGTACATCTATGAGTTTGACTGTCAGAAATAATATTGTAATGCTGAACAAATTGTGCTTGGGGTAATGAAACAGAAATCCACATAGAACAGGACCTGTATTTTCACTCCTCCTACATGATTCAAACTATTTTAAACACAGCTGAAGCTGCCATTTTGAAATGCATTTTCAGAGTCAGGGATTTGCTGTAATTGTAGGTATCTGTATAACTGGTCTGTATTCCAAAGGCCTTTTCTGAAGGAAAAATAACCAGAATAAGTAAGAAAACGGTTATTTGTGTTCTTGTCAAAGGAAATTTCATTCTTATAATTTGAAAAGTGAAACGATAGGTTTTGAAGTTCAGTGATGGAAGACAGAATTAAAGTTCTGTCTTCAGAAGTCATTTTAAAGCATTTGTCCTTAATGTGCATGATCACAACACAAGCTCTGCATTTGGTAAGTGATAAAACCAGCAAAGAATAGCAAAATAGATCTCCTTGTATTTTGGCAATTTTAAGTTTGCATTTAAACCAAGATGAAATCTATAAAAACAACACATTTTTAGAGCTATTTACTATTCACTTGCATAGATCACTTCCTCTCACTGTTTTTATACTATATCTTCTTACAATCTAAAGGTAAAATGAGCTATGAAAAATTCAAGGCTGCTCCCTTTGTCAGAGAGTCTTCAGAAAAAAAAAAAGTAAAAAAAAAAAAAGCAAAAAAAAAAAATCTGCCCCATGTCTGTGTCAGCAGGCATGGGATTGGAAAGACAAATGTTGTCATAACCTCCACCCACTGGAATCTGGTTGTTGGTTTAGTTAACACATCCTCTGGCTATTTGAACTGGTCACTCAAGAAGTCAACAGTAAGTCAAGTTGTCATGCATTCCTTATTAGTCATTTCCTTGCTCAGCTGGATCCTCTGCATTCATGTTTACAAATCAGCTGAAATCTTGTTTGTGCTTTATGGATGAACCAAAGCCGTTAGAGGAATATCTACTGCTCAACTCTGCAAACTGAGCAGATTTAGGTTCCCCAACACCAGCAAACTCCACTGAGCGATGTGCTGTTTCCCAGTTGTCTTGCTGTTGCTAACTTACAAGGGGTTTTCAGGACCTGATTTTTTCAGGGGTTGGGTAATGGGACAGGGACATCCTCTGATCCCTTCCACATAATGTATCCAGGCAGGAATCTCAGCTATTTTCAGTGAAGGAAATGCTTGAGCTATTTCATTTAATTTTTACTTGTCATGGTAGCACTGAGCGGTGATGCTTAAAAAAAAGAAAGACGTGCATGTAATGACTTCTCATGTCTTAATGTAATGGATATTCCTGCAATATTTCCAACTATCTGGGCAACTGTTAAGATTGTGTCAACTGCTTATTTTTGTGTACTTACAGAAAACAGCATTAAAATTTGCAGAAAACAGCACTAAAAAAAGCCAAACAGGGAGCGTATAAAAACAGGCAAAATGGACAGGATAAAAGAAAGTAATCTGGTAAAGTTTCATCCAAATTCCAGCTCATGGTTTAAGTTATTTCCCTAGATGTATTCTGCGTTTCTTGGCGATGTTACTCTTTCTCTTTCTGCTAAAGAGTTACCTAAAACATGCCTCCATCCATCCACAATCCACACTGCACACTGACAAAAATTTTCAGTTTTCTTCACAAGGATCTTTACTCCTTAAATATTGAAGATTCGGCTATCAATATTTTTTCCTCAAATATTCTCACTAGACCTGTCTGTTTTTTGACACTCCCCCCAAAAAAAATCTGTTAAGAATTATCTGGACAGGTGCAAAGAAGCAGAATAAAAAAATAAAAATAAAAATAAAAATAAAAATAAAAATAAAAATAAAAATAAAAATAAAAATAAAAATAAAAATAAAAATAAAAATAAAAATAAAAACAAAAATAATAAAAATAAAAATAAAAATAAATAAATAAATAATAAGAAATAATAAAAAGTGGAATCAAATCAAATTAAAAATGTCCCAAAGGTAAAATTGGTTAATCTATTCTGAACAGTGTACTACTACTGCATTATAGGCAGAACATTTGCAGAAGAATGCCCCTTACATATATGAAGTCAACTACCTAGTCTTAATCTTTTTGGAGAAAATGTTGGTATTATTTTTTATGACATCTACCTAAGAGGACTGGCATTATTATTCCCATTCCCAAGAGGTGAATACACAGAATTCACCAGCTGTAAAAGCCCAATATGTCTACTGTGCTGAAATAAGCATACGTAAGAGCTACACCTCTTTTTTAGAACAGTTAGCCTTATACTGCTTTTTGACTTTAGCTGCAAATAGAAATACCAAGCCTGACTGGTGCTGAGTTGGGTACCCAGAAAATGAGGAATCCAAGTATATCACCAGTGTGTGTGAAGTCTGACATGCTCAGACACTACGGTATTTGCTTATACATAAAGTAATTCTGTGGCAGAAGCAGGGATGGTTTTCCAGAACAGCATCCCAGTACTTAAGCCATACAAGAGTGTGGTGGTTTTTGTTTGTTTGTTTGTTTGTTTTACAGACCCTCAGATCCCTGATAAAACCCTTACTAACTCCAGCAAGTCTTCTAATCAAGCTAAGATGTCAACACTAACTCAAATCATGACCAATCAAATTATGTATCTCCAGGGTCAAGACTCACCAACAAATTGAATATATGGCTCCTCTAACTATCATGGTTAAATTTTATTGATTGTCTCCACTTTTACCACTTTAAGAAGTGGTATCTCATACTATTATTTTATCATAAAGATCCTCCAGAGCCTTCCTGTGCAAGGCTCCAAAGTACTGTCAAGTTTACAAGAAAGCCAACTGACAACGTTGTGGGCCACAGAGATGCAAAACCTTTCACTATTTTTTTTCTAAAATGTTTAAGAGTCCTATATGATGTTTAATGTATTTACCACCAGTCACCTTTACTCTTTTCTGATGAGTAAGAGGTTTGATGCAAAATAATTCCATTGCTTGTAACAGCACCGTTGCAGCAAAATAAATACTAATTTAATTTGTGTAGATTATGAGAAGGTAAGTATGTTTTGCAAAAGCATCTGTCTGCACTATAAGGACTACAATGTTTTTCAGAGTTCATCTCACAGCAACCATTTTCTTAGCTCCAGATGAGAATTGTCTTGAACCAATCAAATATACATTATACAGATATATACCAATATGAAGACAGATTAACTGCTTGACACTGAATGTTTTCTTACGTGCTTCCTGCCAGTAACTAAATGTCACAGCACAAAAATATGTCTATTGGCACAAAGAAGTTTTCTACCTTGATAATAGAGGGTTGCACTCACACAGGAGACCCATTTTGTTCAAATTCACATTTGCGCTAATAAATTCACAACTGCTGCTGCTGCTGTGCTTAAGCAGTTACCTTTCTTGCAGTCCTCTGTACTCTCAGACTTATTTCATGTAACTAATACAGACTGAGTCATGAGGTGTACTTGGCTAGCAGATGGAAACAAGGAGGAGGAGGGAGATATGGCTCCCAATGCTTTGTTTATGAGAACATCCTTCCTGTCATCAATATCCGCATTCCATTAACGTATGGTTTCAATTCTGCCTTTGCGATGTGGTTCAAGCACTATGGTCAAAGCATATATGCTCCAGTCAAGCATATTTCACTTTATATTTAATCTAATAAGAAGGGATACTATAGCGGTTTCTGTGAAAGCTCTAGATGCTTACTAACCTGCTGCTCCAAATCATTCTCAATGATAATGCAAAGGTTTTAGCCTTTCCTTAAGTGCAAATTCAATCTATGATAAAATATTATGGATACGATACATGGAGAACAAAATGTTCTCCAAAACGTTTCAGTTATTTACTGACTTGTTTAAAATTTGCATGATTCAAAATGAAAAAAAAAAAAAAAGAAAAAAGAAAAAAAAAGTTTGAAAGAGCAATAATTGAGAAAGAAAGCTTGAAAGAAAATTAAACATTAATAAAAATAAATTTTAAAAAAATCCTTCATATTTTCCTTTATTTTCATAGCATATAAGCTGTATCCAGGTTCAAGGCCTGAGAAGGACCAAAGGAAAACTTTTGGGGCATGAGCTGAAATTGCAGAGGAACTGAGGTAAGCATTAAAAGGATATTTGAAGAGTATGAGCTATGCTGTGCTTTGAATTGCTGAGGGTCAGCTCAACAATATGCCATGGTACATTCCTGGATAGCCAGAGCCCCATTTGCTGTGCATAAGCATACATAATTCACATGAAGACACCTATATATGAATATCTAATTGGAGTTGTTTCAATTTGCAAGATGAAATCCACATTAAAGGTCTTAAGATCCAACCACTTGAAGATGTCTTCCATTTGGGTCAGCAAAGGGATGCCTGTATAGTACTAGTTACATTTACATGTCAAGAATGTAAAGCAAAGTTTACTGCTGATATTAATTCCCTACATTAAGAAGCTGCTTTCTGATCAAGCAGTCGCAGGTATCTCTTGCAGACTGCTGCATCATCACATGCAGACATAACTATGACTGCAAAAAAAAGATTTTATCAGAACCAGGGGCTGGGTCTGTTGGGTTATGTTTCTGTGGCTTTTGCTTATGCCACTGGCACAACCTGGGACCAAGGAAATAGAATTACTTTGATCTCCAGCTCAAACTTATTTTCTAGTTATTAGACTTTTTTTTCTAATATGCAACATTTCCAGTAAAGAGTTAATTATAATGGGTGTTTATAATGAAATGTGTGATTACTGAACACTGCACTAAATCTCTAACTTGTGCAAATCCATTAGGCTGCCAACAGGTTGATCTGTGGGAAAACACTTGGTATGGTCCAAAAACCGGACCATTTCTTTTATGATGATGCATAAATGGGACAACTTCTGTGTTGGGAAGGGCAAGTACATGCCATCTGTACTGAGGGTCCATCTCTAATTGCTGTTATCTTTTCTGAGGCTTCCTGTGACTTCACCTCAATAATTTGTTTCTTCCTAGAGGGAAACAAAATTGGATCAGCCTACTGGTTGATCTAGAATTGCAGAACCAATAGTTAAAGGACAGAAACTGCACCTGTATTTTGCACTGCCATTTCACTTGTTTCCAGCAGGTGCTGTGTCTAACTTAAACCTGCTTGTGGGAATGTCTTACATGTTTGTCAAAATGCCTTCAATAGTCAGGCCTGATCTATTCCTCTATAAACAGAACTAAGGTAAATTGATTCAACAGCTCCAGTGGAATTACTCCTGATTCACAAAGCTGAATTGCTGCAGCTGTGCAGCACAGCTTCCTGATGAAAATGAGCACAATGACTGCTGGGAAAGGGTATAACATACATCAACTCCCATATTCTTAAGAACAAAATCTGAAAACAAACTGAATAAACAGAAAAAAAATGGGGCGGGGGGGGGGGGGGGGGGGAGGGGGAGCACAACTATGTTTCAACTTGCTTTTCAAAGTTCAGCTGTTCAAAAGAATTAAGCATTTTGGAATATAGACAAAACTGTTTTAAATAAGCATGTCATCTGAAAGTTTCTAGTGGGCAAAATAGCTATCATTTCCTGGAGCAGAGCCTAGCTACACTCTAATAAAAGTGACTCCAATACTATGAGAAAGAACTGGAGGCTGGAAATTAAAAATAAAAATAAAAAAATAAAAATAAAAAAATGACCACATTTCAATCTTGCAGTGCAGGAAGTGATGGGGAGACAAAATTACCTGAAATCCTGCCAAAGTTTGCAGAGGATCTGTCGGTTCCTAAAGAACAGGGTGTGCCTCAAAACCGTTGCATGGTTCATTTAGTCACAAAACAATGGACTTCATTAATATGAACAAGGTATTCAGGGGCGGGGAGTGGTATTTCCACAGTTCTGCTTGTTGGGATTATAGCAACTGATTCTAAACAAAATGTTCCAGCAATATGCGTCATAACTGAGAATTTGTAATTGATCTGATTTATGAGGATGTATCATTTTCTATTACTTCTTAGTCTTCTCACCACACAGAGCAGAAAACACACATCTATTCCCATGCAGGAATTCAGACATTATGACTCAAATACCAACGACAATGTAAAGGAGCTCTTTTTATTATGTTTAATATTGATTATTTTCTGTGTGGTGGCAGCTAAAATGGCTCAAAATAGGTCTTAGTTTATATTCATAGGTAAAAGAAAAATAAATAAATAAAAGAGAGAGAGATTCAGCAAACGTATATTCATAATACTTTTACTGGAACAAATCTTATTTCAGACTGTGTGAAATCTCCCTGACAGCAATGTGAGTAACGTAAATTAATTTCATGGGACCAGGAGGTTATAGGCACCAGGATACAGATGTCAGGACACAGAATCTAGGACTGCATAAACCAGAGCTTTTTGGAGGGCTGGACAGTGAATAGCAGAGTTATGTATAATGCTCATCACTAAAACAGAGCAGGAAAATAACTGTTGTAACTGCTGCAGCTTCAGGGTTTCTTTTCATATAGCCTCGTAGTTGGAAAGAACTAATTTGAGATAATAGGTTACAACTGGCCACTGAGGGATTTTTAGGTTTGTAAAGGATTTCTCTTTCATACCTATAATGAAAGCCCTTATTGCATGCAGTCCAGCAGGCTAGCTGAGAAAATCTTACAGTAAGCAAGGCAAATCAAAGTGGAGACGACCTTTACTCCAATTTTAGCACTACGAGAACTACAGAATTAAAGGCTGAACCAGAACAAATGCTAATTTCCATAAAAGTTTTTTTCTATTGTTCCAGAAATGGAAGTCACAAAAAAATGAGAGATGAACCCTGGGAGGCACTGGAAGAAGGAATAAGGCAATAATACTAGGAGTAAAAATGCAAACATTACATTCACAAGAAATTCCTGGACATCACAACCAGGTAATAATATAGGTTATGTCACTCTAGTACCCACCAGAGCTGATCCAAAATATCTATTGTTAGATGCTACATGGATAAGGACTCGCAAAGTCACAGATACTTAATGATAACCATATTGATGTATCCACAACTGATAATGAAAACATAGCTGGTGATTATGATTCACCAAAAGGGGACAGTAATTATCCTTCAAATCAGTCTTTCAATTAAAAAAAAAAAAAAAAAAAGTGTAATACAGTTCAAACACAGTCAATACCATTCACCAGATGACACAACAGCTCCATCCAGAAATTCAAAAAGAAAACGAGTGGAAAAAATAAGTGAATAAATAAATAAATAGTGTTTTAAGTGCATATAAGAAGAAATTCAAACTGTAAACTAGGAAAAATATGACATATCCCATTGCTAACATTAAGCAACAAACTCTCATTGCTAATATTGAGCAATGAACAGAACAGAAACACTGGTAGTTTCCAGTCAACGCTTCATTCCTTTGCAGAGAACACGGATGTTTTTCATAGACAGATAGGTCACTGGTCAATGGTCACTGACTTCCTTAGACTGCTTTCTCAGTGGTACCATATCCTTCTCTGCCATGTGCATAGTGGTGATTATTACTCATCTCACCCTTCCTAAAGGACATGCTTCACAGGAGTCCTGCCCCTTTTACTTTAGTTTCTGATATCCCCACTATTCCTATCAGCATTCAGGAAAAGCCATGTGTATGCCTTTGTTGTTTGCTCTCTTCTGCTCCTGCCTACTAACACTTTTCAGTGGAACAGATTCCTGCAGCACCCAAGCTTGCTACCAAAATCCTAGTGGTGACCAGGCTGAAGAGCAATTTTCCCCAACCCTGCAACTGCCTTCTCCTCAAAGCAGAGGAGACAATGAGTAAGAGGGGCCTTTGTGCACATACTAAATGCTGATCACACACTAAACCATCCTCCATCAGTTGTGGCGAAAAAAAATATATAGATAGATAGATAGATAGATAGATAGATATAGATATAGATATAGATACAGATACAGATATAGATATAGATATAGATATAGATATAGATATAGATAGATAGATATAGATAGATATAGATTAGATATAGATGATATAGATATATAACATTAGCAAAACTTAGAAACTTAGCCTACTAGAACAAATGGTTTTGTCAGGAATGTACTAACTATGATCACAAAATGCTGAACAAAACTCAGAATTCTACATGGGAATTCTGAGAAGATAAATTAATTGTGTACTGTGGTTTTTATCCTATATAGTGGTTCATTTTTCCATGAGACAACAATAATATTCTAAATTGTAGTCTTCATTACTCCAGTGTAAGACAGAGAGAGTTCTCATCAGGTATCCTCTGTTAGTTTTTCCAAAAAGATTACTTAACTGGACTATAGTTATGATAAGAGCAATCTTCAAATCTCACAACTGTGTTCCAACAGACAATATTGTCTATACCTTCAATGCCTTTAAGGAACTTCCATTACATTTGTTTCCATGAGAAATTCATCTACCTGCTGATAATTCTCTTAACAAGGAGAAACCACTATTCTAAGGAACATCTGAACTACTCAGATGAAGTAGGATACTTACAATTTCTGTCTGCTTAGATGCCACCAAGAAGGTAACATGCAGTCATGTTATTATTATGATTATACATATCATATGCATTCATTATACATATCACAAATAGAAATAATTTATGTAAAACTACTACAGGTCACCCAGCCAAGGGGAGCCTGTTGATGAAGCCTTCTGGCTTCAAATACATGAAGCATCATGTTTGCATACTCTCATTCTGGTGGGGAACTTCAACCACCTAGATGTCTACTGGGAAAGCAACACAACAGGCTGTAAGCAATCCAGGATACTCTGGATATCCAGGAGCACATTGAGGATAACGTCCTGGGCCAGGTATTAGAGCAAACAACAAGAAGAGAAGTGTTACCAAGTGACCATACCCAGGTTAAGTTTGTGGTCTCGAGGAATATGAGCCTGTCAAAGATCTAAGTCAGGAACCCTGAGCTTCTGAAGAGCAAATTACAAGCTATTTAAAACCTACTGGATAAGATGCCCTGGGACACTGACAATAAGGACAAAAACGCTGAACAGAGGTAGCAACTTGTTAAGGATATTTTCTTTGGAGCACAAGAACTCTCCATCCCCCTGAGTAAGAAAGCAAGCAAGGAGGGCTGAAAACCAGGATGGCTGAGCAAGGACCAGCTGGTCTAACTGAGGCACAAGAAGAAACTACATAGGCAGTGTATACAGGGACATGTGCCCTCGGAGGAGTACAGGGAAGCTGTCCAGATGTGCAGGAATGAGATCAGGAAAGCCAAGGCACAGATGGCACTGAGCCTGGCAAGGGATGAAAAGAATAACAAGAAGGGACTTTGTAGGTGCTTTGGGCAGAAAAGAAAGAGATAAACTAAAAGAGATATCAGATATCCCCTCTGATATACAAGAAGGGAGAACTGGTAACAACAGACGTGGAGGCTGGAGGAATTCAGCAACTTCTTTGACTCTGCCTTCACTGACAGTCAGGCTTCCCACATCTCACATTTCCTGAACCCATAGAGGAGGGCTGGAGGAACTGTAAGAGAAGTTCTTCCCTCTGTAAGAGAAGAGCAGGTTCGAGACCACCTGATGAAAATAAACAAGTATAAGTCTATGGTGCCAGAGGACACACACCCCAGGATCCTGACAGAACTGGCTGATGGAGTTGCCAAGCCTCCCCCCATCACCGTTGAAAAGTCAGGAAAAGTCCCTGGTGACCAGAAAAAGGGAAACATCACTCCCACTTTTAGTAAGGGTAGAAAGGAGGACCCAGGGAACTACAGAACAGTGAGCCTCACCTCCGTGCCTGGGAAGATTATGGAACAGATCCTCCTGGCAGCAATGTCAAGGCACATGCAGGACAAGGAATTGATCCAAGACAGCCAGCACAGCTTCACCAAGGTAAATCATGCCCGATCAAGCTGGTGGTCTTCTATGATGGAGTGACTGCATCAGTTGGCAAGGAAAAATTGACTAATATCATCTACCAGTAAGGCCTTTGACATAGTCCCCCATGCTGTCCTGTTCTCCAAATTGGAGAGGCGTGGACTTGATGGGTGGACTATCCAGTGCATAAGGAATTGGCTTGAAGGCCACACCCAGAGAGTGGTGGTCAATGGCTCCGTGTCCAGGTGGAGACTGGTGATTAGTGATGTCCCTCAGGGGTCTGTCCTGGGATCGGTGCTGTTTAATGTCTTTATCAATGACACAGACACTGGGATTGAGTTTGCAGATGACACCAAGCTGAGTGGTACAGTCAATACGCCAGAAGGAAGGGAAGCCATCCAGAGGGACCTGCACAAGCTTGAGAACTTGGCATATGTGAATTGCATGAGGTTCAACAATGCCAAGTGCAAGGTGCTTCACCTGGACCAGGGCACTCCCAGACATGAGCACAGACTGGAAGAACTCATTGAGAGCAGCCCTGCAGAGAAGGACTTGAGGGTTCTGGTGGATGAAAAGATCCACACGAGCCAGTAGTGTGTGCTTGCAAGCCCAGAAGGCCAACTGCGTCCTGGGCTGCATCAACAGAGGGGTGGCAGCAGGTGGAGGGAGGGGATTGTGCCCCTCTGCTCTGCCTTGTGAGGCCCCACCTGGAGTGCTGCATCCTTGTTGGGGGCCTCCAGCTCAAGAAGGACGTTTAGCTGTCAGAGCAGGTTCAGAGGAGGGACACGAAGATGATCAGAGGAAGTCTGGAGTATCTCTCCTATGAAGGAAGGCTCAGAGAGCTGGGGATGTTCAGCCTGGAGAAAAGAAGGCTCCAGGGTGACACTATTGCAGCTTTTCAATACTTATAGGGGGGCTTATAGCAGAGATGGAGAGCAACTTTTTGCTCAGGCAGATAATGATAAGACAAGGGAAAAAAGTTTTAAAGTAAAAGAGGGGAAATTTAAATTAGAGGTTAGGAGGAAATTTTTTTACTCAGCTTGTCATGAGACACTGAAACAGGTTGTCCAGAGAAGCTGTGGATGCCCCATCCCTGGAGGTGTTCACAACCAGGTTGGATGAGGCCCTGCGCAATGTAGTGTAGTGGGTGGCATCTCTGCCGTTGCAGGGAGGTTCTAACTACACAGTCTTTAAGGTCCCTTCTAATCTGTGACTTTCTATGATATGATTCTATGATATAAAATAAACTTTGGTTCTTATCTGGAAGTAAAGGAACTAAAGTGAATTGGGTCACTTTATCTGAAACTAGTAGCTCCAGGTCACTTTATCTGAAACAAGTAACTCCAGCAAAAAAGCCAGGTGACATCAACAAAGGTCCAGTGAAGCTCAGTAAAAACAGTTGCACTTTTTCAATACTATGCTGCAATGTTGTAGTACTACGCTATACAATAGTAATTTTAAATTACTGATATTTTTTTCCACAGGTCTCTAGACACATAATATGTAGACAAGTACATCTCCTGGCTTTTATCAAGGGTCAGATTCATCTCACCTAAAGTTAGATGTCTAATTGTTAAACATCTGAGGTCAAAGATAGTTAATATTTAGGCTATTTCTCTGGTCAATGACAGGCATAATACAAATGGGAGCTTCAGTTAAACCCAATTACTTAAGTGCATTTCATATCCTTCTGAGAGGATATCACCTTCCCTTGAGAAAGCTGTGACTGGCTCAGAAGGAGCCAAATTAGTCCATCCATTAATTTCCTAACTTCCACTGATGCCTAAAAGCCTTTTAGGTAGTTATTCATATGTTTTATGCTTAATTTTATTTCAGCAAGGGCTTTTAAAACCTGTGTTTCATGCTATTTGCTCACTTCATGCAAATGCAAGATTGTCCCTACTTTGCAGTCTTCTGTAATCTCTAAACTTTACTATTAATGCTCTGAAGGGAAACTGAGCTCCCCTGAGAAAAGGTGATTCACCTCATTTATTTAATTTTGGACTTTCTTTCCCTTTAACAGATGGTGACCTTCACTATCTGCCAGGAATTCTCAAGCACGTGTTGACCTGTAACTAGTCATTTATTCCAGAGAAAGTGTGCAATAGTTCAACTCTCTGTTTTACACTGGCTGACCTACAAGGTTTTTCCTAATGTTTCTACTCTCAGCAAACTGGACTTTTCACCATATGACAGTTACCTCAGAAGGCAGCAGCATAATCTGCTACATAAACAATATGTTTAAGGCAACAGCATAATCTGCTACATAAACAATATGTTTTTGAGATAAACATGATGGTGGATCAAAGCATGATGAGCTTTTCCAAAAAGAGGCATGTTAGCTTCGTGTTTATTACACAATCATCCTCAGACTGTTGCCTTGCAGATTTCCTTGTATATTAGTTTTCATCTGTATTTTATATATTCATTGAAAAACACCACATATTTACTCCAGCAGAGGTTAAATGTTTAAAAGTTGGATTTAAGTGTATGATCCATCCTATTTATATGTAACCACTCTGCTTTCCATGTTTCAGTACTGGTCTCAAAATGACTCCTCAGTTACTGCAATCAAAACCCCTGAACTAGCTCAAGCTCCAGGAATTCTACAGAGAACTCAAACTAAACAGATACTGGCCCAATGGAAACAGGCATCTTCCCAAAAGGTGATAATGGATAGGCACCAGATGGCTGATCGAGGACAAAACAGATTTGGTGTGTGCCAAAGAGGGAAAGCCAGAGAGAGAAAGAGAGAGAGAGAGAGGCATCAAAGGAAAACAGCAAGAGCAGCAGTAGCTAGTGTGTTTGTAATCTAATTATCACAACACAGTAGAGAGCAGTTCCATGCACTGGATTCAGTTAAAACTTTTGTGCCATGCTCATTAATACACACGAATAAAGCAAATGAAGTATAAGTTCTGGTTTAGCTCTGCTAAAGTAATTATTAGTAATTATTGAGCACCATATGGGCACAACTAGGTGAAATTGAAAGGCTTATGAAGGGCAAGAGGTCAGGCAGGCGAACTTGCCCTTCACTACCCAAAAACCCAGTCTGCAAAACCCAGCCCCTCCAGGGGGCGCAGCATTAGCTTTCCTCACCCAGCAGCTCTGGAGATGGGTGTTCTACACCAGGTTTCCACTGTGCAGGTGGCACCAAACAGCAGGAGTCCACAGCTCCTGTCTGTCCTCCAGGCTGTGCTGGGCAGCTGGAGCCCTCCAAGGAAGGGCCATGGGCCCCACAAAGATTAGACCATATGGGAGTAGTGAAGGTGAATGGAGACCCCAAAATCCCATTGACTTGCCTTTGCTCAGAGCTCCCTGAAACCTTAGGATCTGTGGAGCTGCCACTGCAGACCTGAATTCAGTGTCCTCGGGGCTGCAAAACTCAGCACAGACAGTGTTGAAAGTGTCAGCCCCAACAAGCCACTGTTCTGCAAGGTTCTCTCCTCCTGGAAACATCATTTTTGCTCAGCCCACATCTCCAAATGGACAGCCAGTGCTTCCACAGGAATGCAGCAAAATGCAAGGTGAGGGTGTCATTCCCTGGCTGGTGCTGCCTTACAGGTAGAACAAGCCAGATATGGAGGTGGTGGAAAACAGGTTGTAGGAGCTCCAGAGACACATAGCGGAGACAGGTTTCCATGGTGGCATGTAACCCAACACACAACTAAGAAGAGAAGCAGAAAGCACCCCAGTGACTCTGCCCTGGTGGCAGCAACAGCAGGCCCCACAGAACCTTCTAGAAGGAGAAAGCCATGTCAGGGCTTCTGTGTAGCCTGGTGGGGCTGCAGGCACCCAGGAGATCAGGACCATGCTGATGGGAGGCCACCAAGGACATGGGAGCAGCCACAAAGCCAGCCCTTAAGAGAGGGGGTTGTCCCCAGGGCACTAGGAGGCTGGACAGCAGTCACTGTCACCTGGGAAGCTGGTCCTGGCTCCTGGACAGGGAACATGAGGGCATCGAGCCATCTTCCCTCTGCTCCCCATCACACAAACTCAGAACCTGTGGAGAAATGTTTCCCTATCTTTCCCAACACAGCTATGTTTTTTAAAAGTTTGCTGTTCTGCATTTTTCTCAGTTGCATGGGTTTGTTTTAAAACATAAGTTTGGAGTTGAAAAAGCTCCATTGGGGTTTTCTTGCTTTCAGGAAAACATGAGACTTAAGCTACCTCAGCACACTGCTTGACTGAAATTTCAGCAGGAGAAAGAGGAAATTATCAGGGGACAGTGCAACACTGCTGTTACAACAAACCACACTGCTGCAAATATTACAAATATTAGATTCCCTCTAAATATCCAACACATATAATTCAGAAAAGGTATAAAAACTGTGGGCTAACCTCGCTCCCACTGAAACTATGTGTGAATTTACTGGATTCTGTGGCATTTCTGCAAAGGCAAGTTATCTCCATTCCCACTTTAAAAGTTCAGGAAAGTTATGCAAACTGAGGATCTGCAGAGTTGGGGAAAATTGGGATTGTAAATTTTCCAGACAAAACTACCTTAACAATGTGTATGTATCACAGGCCTGCTCATTTGAATCAGTCAGTTTAAAGTCTAAGTATCGTTAAACCTCACAACTGAAAGGTGCCAAAATACAGAATTTCCAGAGCTGTAAACAGTAAATACCTGAAATGTAGAGAGTAAAAATGCATGAAACTTCCAGTAGAGTGTGTTTTGCATTAATGTACACAAGTCAAATGTTTTTTTGAACAATATAAGTAAATAGATGAAACATCAGGAATGAAGCAATATAATCCAGTAAAGTAAAGCATGCATACCCTGAAGCAAAAGTGCTTTTAGTGTTCTTGTCATGGCACAGCATTTTGTTGTGAATGTGTGTGTGGAATGAGGTAGGGGACACTTGAAATGAGGAGCAGGGCAAAATCTTGAAAAATCTTTCCAAATATTTCTGCTACTAAAGAATGGGGCTCTTTTTAAGGTCACTAACCATATGCCAAAGTCACTTGAAAAAGTACTTCTTTTCCCTTACTTGGGTTTTCACTTTCCTCCCTGTTCAGAACACCAAGCTATTCTCTTGCTTTTTCCTTCATGCAAAAATAATACAGATTGCAGACAATGTATTGCGTGCTCTTTTTACTGCCATACTCAAAAATATCTTTTTATTTTGGAAACACCTATTTCTTTTTATTCTCTTTTCCCCTATTTATGAGCTGAAGAATCATAGAATGGCTTGGGTTGGAAGAGACCTTAAAAATCATCTACCTCCAAGCCCCCTGCTATAGGCAGGGATGCCACCCACTAGATCACTCTGGCCAAGGCCCCAGATAGCCTGGCCTTGAACACCTCCAGGAATGGGGCATCCACAGCTTCTGTGGGCAATCTGTTCCATTGCCTCACCACCATGTGAGTGAAGAATTTCCTCCTAACCTCTAATCTAAATCTCACCACTTTTGGTTTAAGAACATTTGCCCTCGTCCTATCATTATCTACTCAAGGAAAAAGTCTTTCTCCATGCTTTTCATTAGACCCCTTTAAGTATTGAAATATTGTGGTGAGGTCTCCCCAGAGTCTTCTCTTCTCCAGGCTGAACAACCCCAGCTCTCTGAGCCTTCCTTCATAGGAGAGATGCTCCAGACCCCTGATCATCTTCGTGTCCCTCCTCTGAACCTGCTTTGACAGCTGCACATCCTTCTTGTACTGGGGGCCCCAGCCCAGGATACAGCACTCCCGGTGGGGCCTCACAAGGCAGAGCAGAGGGGCACAATCCCCTCCCTCCACCTGCTGCCCACCCCTCTGTTGATGCAGCCCAGGACACAGTTGGCCTTCTGGGCTGCAGGCACACACTGCTGGCTTGTGTCAAGCTTTTCATTCTCTAGAACTCCAAAGTCTTTCTCTGCAGGGCTGCTCTTAGTGGGTTCTTCTTCCAGTCTGTCCTTATGGTCAGGATTGCCCTGATCCAGGTGCAGTACCTTGCACTTGGCATTGTTGAACCTCATGCAGTTCACATGTGCCTGCTTCTCAAGATTGTCCAGGTCCCTTTGAATGACAGCTTTTCCTTCTGTTAGATTGACAGCTTGGTGTCATCTGCAAGCCTCCTGAGGGTGTACTTAATCCCATCATCTGTGTCACTGATGAAGATATTGAAAAGCACCAGTCCCAAGACAGACTCAAATGTATAGCAACCGTAAGCTACATTGTTCCAGGATGTTAGGAGTTATCAATAGTGTCAGTCTCGTCCTTCCCAAGCAGGCAGTCCAATGAGAAACCAAACACCCACTTTTAACCCATTGGAAGATCAGACTTCATCTAGCAGAGTGAAAAGAAAAGAAAAAAAGGAAAAAAAAAAAAAGCACCTCTGCAAACAACCTACCACCCACTGACCGAGCTTTGCAGAGTTCAGGCATTTGCTACAGTGTACTATCTTCAGAAGAACTGCTTTTAATTAAATCTTTACTTCCTATCTTTGTCTTTTGGATTACATACCCATGTATTCATTCTTTTCACAAATCATCTCTGTGTTTCATTTCAGGTTCATACGTTGTCTATTACTATAATTACCAGTAGTAAAATAAGCAGCTTGAGTTATGTCTTTTTGATGGAGTTTAAAGTCATTGTGCATCCTTAGAAGCAAGAGAAGGCTGGCCCTTTCCAAACCCTTGCTTGGAATGATCACCTCTGCACTAGAAGCTTGTACTTCAGATACTGCGCCTTAGTCCAAAAAAATCTCCAATTTAATTAGAGGGGAAAAGCAGTTTGTTCCCTTAGTTTTCGTTCTAATTTTTTTCAGTTGTTCTGAGTTCTATCAATAAACAGCAGTCTTACAAAGAACAAATCCTCAAATATATTTCTGCATACTTTAATTTCATTACATGAAATGTGAAGTGTATTTTATTAGCAGCCCATCAAGACAAATAAATCATAAGAATCTTCCATCTGTTTATGTAGCGATATTTTTAAAGGAGTAGGCATGTTTTAATTATGCTTTACCTTCTCTAGGCCACACAGTTTATCCGTATTTTCATCCTTGTGTATTGTGTCCTCCTGTCTAATAGGCTGATAAGTGACTGCAATAAGACATGTGCAAGATGAGAAAAAAAAAAAAATACTGGGGAGCAGGATAGCAGGATAGGATCCCTTGTGTATTGTCATGCAGGATTGCTTTGACCTACTCAAGAGCTACTCAGAGTTGGGCTGGCCAGAAGATAACCCCTGATGTTCTGGTGCATGCTTTGCTGGTAAGTGTACTGCACTTTCCATGTTGTCAAGGTGCTTCTCACACTTCATTGTGATTCTGCTGAAAGACTCGTATCTTTGATCTCTCACAGTTCTGCCTTTCAATGGCATGTATTTTTAGACTCTGTGGAAGTAGGCCATTGGTGGGTTTTTTTGTTTGTTTGTTTTTTTATGAAGAGGACTTCTTGTATGTTGTTTATTCTTCTCCATCTCTCTGAGTTTTACAGGAGTGTTCCTTCTAGACTGAGAGGAACATGCTGTTCACGTGCACTCTTTCTCCTGCTCATGTTTGTGTTGCCTGGAAAAGACCAATTTTCCCTAACTGCATCATGCCACGCACTATAAATCACATTTGTGTCCCATTTAAAATGTAAACCACAACAGACACAGAAGAACAAAAGGAACCACACGCCCAGCTTTTTTGACAAAACTCCCACACATTGATAATTAGAAGCACATAAAACCATACGCAGACTAGGAGAGCTCAAGCGGCTGTCATGCCTCATGCTGTCTGTCTCAGCCTCCTCCACTTTCAATTCTGCCACAAATTCGCCTGGAACAGTAAAAAGGGCAGGAGAAGATTAACATAAACAATCTGTGAAACAATGGAGATTAAAATAATAGTAAAGATTGCCTGACAAGTGTGCTTTCATGAGACTCTGGGAAATCTTTGCTTTAATTAATTATCTGCACTTGTCCAAGGGATATCTGAAGCACTTAAACACTAAAAGGAGGCCAATGTATTTTAAAAGCCATCTCTAAAATAAATAATTGTTGAAAACCTTTTTAGTAACTTACTGCATAGGGGATATGGATAGAGGATTCTGGCTGCATATTTGTTTTATATTTTGCAATCAGACTTACTGGCTCTACAGACTTGAGCTGTAATCCTGCAAACTCACATGTGTAAGTGTTCCCACTAGATACAACTCAGAACTATTCAAAAGATTGGATTGTGCAGTTTGTTTTATGTATACTACCAAATGCAGTGAACAGTGATCATTATATTCACTAGTATTGTTGCTGGTGATGCAAGACTTCATACATTTCTTGTTTAAACTGCATAAGGTACGGTGAATACCCATATACCCCATTGGCCTATTGGCAGTTTGAATGCCTAAGAAGGGACTGAACATATTAGCAATGTGTAGGAAGAGAAATAATGGCTTGAAGGGCTAAAGCACTTTACCAAAAGATGTATAATAGACCAGAAGTAAAGCTCAGTAGGAAAACTAGGGCTATCAGTTCCTCGCACAGTGTCACATGATAGTAATACTTCACAGCAGGATTTTATCCAGCTTGCAGAATCAGGCCGAAATTTAGGAATATTACCGTAAGTGCAACACATCGAAATGAAGTGAAGAATCTCACTGATCACAGCAGTGTGATGATGAATATTTATTTTATTTTAAAAATTACCAGCTTTGAACAGTCTTACTTCTTAGATCATTTTGGCACCATTTTTTTCACAGTAAAATCCAATTATTCTCTTAATTTCATCCTCTAACTCACCTGAATAAGGTTTGGGAGGACATATGTGTCCTTGAAATGAAAGATACCCTATAGGAACCTGTTCTTTTTATTCTTTCTGTTATTTTCAGATCTGCCATCTCACATACAGATATTTTGTACTAAATCTCTGTGCCAATATATTACAGATGTTTCAACCAAAGCAAAGAAAATGTACTTCAGGAACTTAGATAAAGTCATATCATCTTTGCAATCCAGATCATTCTTCCAGATCATTCTTCTTAAGTTCTATCACGCTTAATCATTTTGAGCAGTGCCAGCCTTTTGTAGGTCCGGAGTTCCCCAGGCTACACCAAGAGTGAGCATCTACTGAATTCAAATGAATAACTCATAATCTAGTGATTATGAGTAATTACTCACAGAGCAAATTTACTCCTCTTGTACATCTAGTCAGAAGCAATCAACAAGAACAATTATTTATTTTAAGAGCCTAAGCTAGTGCCTAGGTTCAAGTGGTTTGACAGCAAGATGAAAGTTAATTATCTCTATTTGGTAAGTTTTTAAATGCTAATGAAAAAGACCTTCTCATCTTGAGGAAGTTAATTGCCTTTTGGCCATTCAGGCTGTTCATGACTGCAAGTCTGAAACAGCTTGTTATGTCCCAAGAAAACAATCCAGTTATAAAACCCTGGAACATCCTACCAAGAAGCCACCAGGAAATTCAAATAGCTGTTTGTCCAAAAATCAAAGAACCATCTAAAAATTCAAGGGAAGAAAAAAAAAAAAAGAATTCTAGGAAAGAAGAATATTTGAAATATTTGTTACAAAGTAAAAAAGACTTGGACTGCATCTTAATTTCCCTGAGCACTTTGGTTAAACAAACAAACAACAAAAAAAATCTAAATAAATGAATGAAAATGCATGCATGTATCTTTGGTCTGCTAAAAAAAAAATAGCAATTGATTTTGTATGAGCTGAAATGATTGTTTTCTTTTGAGCTGGCTAAAAGCAAAACAAAGATTTACACATTAGCACCAGTACAAGATTATAAAGAGGTGTTACATAGTACTGTTCAATATTTTACGTGGTTTTAAAGTATAAATAAAATATTTGTTTCATAAGAATTTTTTCATGTTATTCCTAATAAAAGAGAAAAATACAGAAAACCCATTTTACTTTGAGACTTTGAGTATCTTCTGAATTTTCACTTTCTTATTATCTTATCCATCTGTCTGGAAATTCACCAGAAAGCAATGATACTATACAAAAATCATTCCATAACTTTCAAACTAAATTCATAATAAACTGAGCCAGTATAGTTGTTCCTGTACTATTTTGAAGAACTCTTTGGGAACAGAGAGTAGGGGAAAATAAAAAAGGGAAAATAAAGCTGGAAAATAATTGTTCCAGTTTTCCTTATCTTTTCCAGCTGGAAAAGGGGATGAGAACTTTAACAGCATTTTAATCTTCTCATAGTGATCTTCTCTGAAACTGCAACAATTGAGCACAACATCAAAAATATTTTCAATCTAGTTTTCTGTGAGATTTACCTTTGTCTGATTCTGTCACACCACTCCTGCACATACACTAATTTTTCTTGGCTTTTAATAATGAATTTTCACTCAGATGTTGCTTGCTGGTTTTATTTTACACTTCCTATGAAGAGTATTTTTTATTTTTTTAGCTATAATCTTATTAACAAATAGATCTTATTCTATTTCTAGCTTATCATTGAGACTTGAAAGAATTATGACTAATGAATTAGTTACAGTAAGTAAATATTACATATGATATCTACTTTGATTTCTTGCAATGCTTCACCATTCTCGCACATTGCAAGAAAGCACCCAGGAGAGAAACTCAAGTGATATATCCAGGTTGCTTCATATAAGCCATTTGCAAAGAAGTACTCCTGTCTTTGCGTGTTTTGCTCTACTTTTTTCTTTAAAGAGCCCTGTAGTTAAGTGCATGCCAGGGAAAGTAGCTTACTTCAAAATCACTGCAAATGACACAAGCTTTCTCAGTTCCTGAA